GTCTGCTTTATTGATTGAGAATATAGAGCATTCTTCATCAATGCTAACTTTAGGATACAACCACTAGAGCTAACACCTTGAAATAGCTATGTAAAACCATGCAGCAAAGCTCCTTTGTAGAACTGTATTAGCAGATTGCAGATGTGCTAAAAAATTAATCTGCATGTTTAGTCTGGATTTTCATTTTAGTATATCAGCAGCCTGCTCATATTTTTCAACACAGTAAGTGTGCTGCATAGTTTTACTTACTGTATATTGATATTAGGGAGTATCTGCTCAGTTCATAAAAGATTGTATCCTACAATTAAGCCATGAAGAAATTGGCTGTTTCATCCTTAAAAATGGATTGGCATTGGTTTATTCTCAAACAATAAAGCAGACTGTAACTGTCATCCCTATTGGCATACCTTGAATATGTATACAGTATTTTAACTGGTCACACCTAAGGTTTAATCTCTTTCTCTGTGGTAACTTTGGCTTGAGAGCTGCATCAACGTGACTTCACTGGGACCAATAGATTTGAATCATACATTTTGGATTGCAACCAGTACATCTGATATAGCACTGCCATTAAATCACATCAGAAGAGAATGTAGATTGACCAGTGGGGTTACACTGAGAATCACATGGATAACAGGTGTAAGTGGCCAGAAAACAATGTTACTGGGAAGGGTGGCGCCAGAATACAATTGGGGACAGATTCCAGAGAACTCAGTGCAAACAGTTTGGGGAGCAGGCAGATAGTGTAGAATGAGCTGTGAAAGATGCAAAACAGGGCAGTGGGGATGTAAATACTGATGAAGGTCTCCAGCAGGTTGTGAGCACTATTGAGTGAACTATGTATGTGTTTGGGGCCTGTCAAAGCTGCAGTGCAACACTCTGGTAGTGATCAGATTTGAGGAGGCGCTTGTACTTTCCTCCTTCCGCATTTTTTTGTAGTGGCAGATTTCTTCAGCACTTGAAGGTAAAGGTACGTTATCTTTAAAACATATGGGGGGGGGGGGGGGTAAATCATTGTGTAAGTTAGTCAGGGCTGATAATTTAGATCTCTCCTCTGCGCACAGAGAATTCATAGAAAACAATGTCAGAAACCCTTTTCTGTCAATTCCTTCTTGCTATATAACAATATACTGTATAAAGGAATCATTTAATTTCTATTTTTAAAGTTATTTAAATCAATACAAGGTCACTCATTTCCTAAAATGTTTGATTTTGAAATTCGTGAATAGTAAATATAACATGCGTTGAGTATATGTTCTAAAGATAGCACTGTGAAAATGGTCTTTCCTTCTCTAATCCAACATACATCAGCCAGTAGACTGTGTATATGTATGTATTTATATATGTTGATTGTGTGCGTGTGTATATATATATATATATACACACACTATATATATACACACACACACACACACATATATATATATATATATATATATATATATATATATATATATATACGCACACACACACACACATTTTTGTAAAGCCCTTTTCCATCTATTTCTCATGATCAACATTCAGACAAAAAGCTACACAATTGCCCTTAGATATTGGTCTTTCCTTTGTCTAGAAAATACAATTGAGTGCTGTCCATTATACATTTTTTTAATTTAACTAACATCCAATTTTCTGGACAAGCTTTAGGGGTGTACCTTCTTTTTCAAGCAGTACTACTGCTTGGACCTCGAAAAAAGCGGTAGACCCCGAAAGCTTGTCCTGAAAATTGGGATGTTAATGCAAATAAAAAAGTACTTAATTGTTTTTGTTACAAGAGAACTACAACCACCTAAAACATGATAAAGGATACTTTGGGGTTGATTTACTAAAACTAGAGAGTGCAAAATCTGATACAGCTGTGCATGGTAGCCAATCAGCAACTAACTTCAGCTTACTCAATCAAGGTTTGACAAAAAAAAACCTGGAAGATGATTGGTTTCTATACCAAAATGTTCCTTGTCTCCAAGGTTCTCCACTAGCTCTGATTTGTGTTAGTTTCATAAATTTGCCTAACCTTTGGTTATTTCATTTCTGAAATGTCAATCCATTTCTGGTACATACTGAACACTACCTAGATTTCATGCCTATGGGAAACCTATATCTAAATGCTAATAATGTAAAGGATACACATACCAATGAAAGCACCTAAATATGACCATATGTTGTATATCTTGTATTATTCATGCAGATGGCACAAGGACTCTTCTAGTTACTGTAACATATCTCTTTTGTGCATTTTGTGCAACGGAAAATGAGATTTGTTCACATGACCTTTTATTAATGGAATGATACCATTACAATTCTGATTAGTAACATCAGACTATCAGGATAACAACATCATAATAAACCTCATGTAGGTATGAAAATGGACTGCATCATGCACAATGACATGACATTCTTAAGTGCTCTCTTACTTGCATGAAGATCTGTGCTCTGGGGGAACAGTGTACCATATTATTCACCATGCTGATCAATGTCTCACTCTCACTCATCTGTAGCAGGTGGTGAGGGGGAAACATAGGATGAAGAAAAATATATACATAATGACACTCCATACACTGACATTTCCTGCTCCTCCACTCTGCTATTCTAATCTAAATCAAAATGTATCAATTTGAACAAAAGATCACTTAGGAGGGCTGCGAACTTCAATATATATATATATTGCTGTGCAAAAGTTTTAAGCAGGTGTGAAATAATGCTGTGAAGTAAGAATGCTTTCAGGAATATATATTTAAATTATTTTCAATTAAGATATTATCAATTTACAAAATGCAAAGTCAGAAAACAAGAAAAATCTACCGGTAAGTCAAATCAATATTTGGAGTGACTGCCCTTCAAACCAGCATCAATTCTTCTAGGTACACACAGTGCTTGTGCACACAGTTTTTGAACTCAGCAGGTAGATTGTTCCAAACATATTGGAGAACTAACCAAGGATCTTCTGTGGATGTAGACTGCCTCAAATCCTTCTGTCTCTTCATGTAATCCCACACAGACTCAATGTGTGTGCACAAGCAATGTGTGTACCTAGAAGAATTGATGCTGATTTAAAGGCAAAAGCGTGGTCGCACCAAATATTGATTTGATTTTTTTTCTGTTCATTGACTTTCCATTTTCTTAATTAAACTGTTAAAACATTTTTAATTTACAGCATTTTTCACACCTGCCTAAAACTTTTGCACAGTACTGTGTGTGTATATATATATATATATATATATATATATATATATATATATATATATATATACACACATATATAGCAGGTAACATAAGTATTTAACACATCACCGTTTTTTTTCTAAGGTGCTACTGACATAAAATTTTCACCACATAACAACCCATACAATCCATACATACAAAGAAACAAAAAAAAAAAAGTTCCGAAATTAAGTTATATGTAATAACATGGAATGACACAGGGAAAAAGTATTGAACACAAGAAGAAATGGAGGTGCAAAAAGGCATGGAAGGCCGAGACACCAGCTGAAATCTATCAGTAATTAGAAAGCAATCCTGCCCCTTGTCAGAGCAAATCCGCTGGTTTAGTTTGTACGGATGGCCTATGAAAAGGTGTCCCATTAGCAAGGTGTCACACAAGAAACATCTCATGATGGGTAAAGCAAAGAGCTCTCTCAAGACCTTTGCAACGTTATTGTTCTGAACATCATGCTGTGGGGGGCTGTTCTTCAGCATACAGTACTGGCAAATGTCATATCACTGAAGGAAGGATGAATGGAAAAATGTATCAGGACATTCTTGATAAAAAATCTGCTGCTACCAGGATGATGAAGATGAAACGAGGGTTGACATTTCAGCAAAACAATGATCTCAAACACAAAGCCAAGGAAACTCTCAGCAGGTTTCAAAGAAAAAAAATAAAGCTGCTAAAAAGGCCCAGCCAATCACCTGACTTAAATCCAATGGAAAATCTATGGAAAGAACTAAAGATCAGAGCTCCTAGAAGAGGCCCACAGAACCTTCAAGATTTGAAGACTGTGTGGAAGAATGGGCAAAAATCACACCTGAGCAATGGATGAATCTTGAATCTGTCACTACCAACAAAGGATTTTGTACGAAGTAATAAATGAATTTAGTGTTTAGTGTATTCAATACTTTTTCCCTGTGTCATTCCATTTTATTACACATAGAGTAACTTAATTTCTGAACTTATTTGTTTTGGTTTCTTTATATGTATGGATTGCATGGGATGTTACCGACATGTGGTGAAAAGTTCATGTCAATTAGATATAAATTTACTGAGAAAAATGGTGAAGTGTGCAAATACTTATTTTACCATATATATATATATATATATATATATATATATATATATATATACACACACACATTATGCACACACTAAATAATCCCAGTAATGCTTATTAGCATAATTGCCATTTGCTTACTAATGTGTACAACTACAACAAACATTTTAAACAACAGAGACCATGAGCTTTTGGTTTCCTTTAAAATCAATGCAATGATTTTTTGCTCAGGTAAGTTAGATAAGTAGATTACATGGCTTATTAAGGAGATCTCAAGAAAGCTGTTTTATGGCCCTTTCACACAAAAGTTCAATTACATCATTTTTTTTATATACTTTTTTCACCTATGACTATTTTCGTCAACAACCAAAAAATATAAGAATATGAATAACTGATGGAAAAAAGGATATAAACTGCTTAACATAACTAAATAATGAACGCCATAGGCTTCTTTCACACAAACATCATCAGTTCTTTAACCACCTCCCGCCCCCCATATAGTCCAATGACGGGCGCAAGGTGGTTCTCTCGTTCTGATAGGACGCCATATGACGTCCTTCCATTCTCACCGCGCATGCGCGGCTCAGGGAAAGCACACCGCGGCGATCGGCGGTGCACTGTGTCCCTCGATCCACGGAAAGAGCCGAAGATGTTGGCTCGGTTATGTAATCAGATGTGTCCAATCACAGCTGATTACATGTAAACAGGGAAATGCCGGTTATTGGTGTTTCTCTCCTCTCGAGCTGTCATGCTGACAGCTTGAGAGGAGAGAAGAGCCGGTAATTGGCATTCCGCAGAGGGGACAGGTACACTGATCATCAGGGCACTGATGATCAGTGTGCCCTGATGATCAGTGTGGCCCCAGAAGTGCCACCTGTCAGTGTCCATCAGTGCCAGCTGTCAGTGCTGAACAGTGCCACCTGCCAGGGCCCATCAGTGCCACATCAATGCCACATATCAGTGCCTACCAGTGCACATCAGTGCCCATCTGAGCTGCCTTTCAGTGTCACCCTTCAGTGCCAGTCAGTGCCACCTATCAATGCCAATCAGTGCCACCTATCAGTGCTGCCAATCAGTGCCAGTCAGTGCCACCTATCAATGCCAATCAGTGCCACCTATCAGTGCTGCCAATCAGTGCCAGTCAGTGCCGCCTATCAGTGCCAGTCAGTGCCACCTATCAGTGCCAGTTAGTGCCACCTATCAGTGCCAGTCAGTGCCACCTAACAGTGCCAGTCAGTGCCGCCTATCAGGGCCACGTATCAGTGCTGCCTTTTAGTGCCCATCAGTGATGCCTGTCAATGCCCATCAGTGCCACCTACCAGTGCCTCCTCATCAGTGTCCATCAGTGCATCTTATCAGTGGCCATCACTACAGCCTCATTAGCGCACATCAGTGAAGGAGAAAAAATCACTTATTTACAAAATTTTATAACAAAAACTAAGAAAAAAACTTTTTTTTCAAAATTTTCTGTGGTTTTTGGTTTGTTTAAGAAAAAATAAAAAACCCAGAGGTGATTAAATAACACCAAAATAAAGCTCTATCTGTCACAAAAAAATGATAAAAATTTCATATGGGTACAGTGTTGCATGACCACGCAATTGTCATTCAAAGTGTGACAGCGCTGAGAGCTGGAAATTGGCCTGGGCAGGAAGGGGGTATAAGTGCCCTGTAGGCTAGTGGTTAAAAAAAATGATTAGCAATAACAAAAGAAACTGAATCTGTTTACATCAGTTTGAGATCCATCTTCGGATCAGTCCAGTTTACATCATTATACATCAATTTTTAACATGTCCTATTTTTAATATTCACGTTAGGTTCGTAAAGACCCTTACTATTTCCATTCTCTTTAAACAGAGGGTGTTAACCAATCCTTTTTCATCTTTTTCCTTAAGCTCTTGCCTACCAGGCACTTTTACCCCCTTCCTGCCTAGGCCAATTTTCAGCTTTCAGAGCTGTCACATTTTGAATGGCAATTGCGCAGTCATGCAACACTGTACCCATATGAAATTTTTATAATTTTTTTCACACAAATAGAGCTTTCTTTTGGTGGTATGTAATCGCCACTGGGTTTTTTTTTTGCGCTATACAGGTGAAACTCGAAAAATTAGAATATCGTGCAAAAGTTCATTTATCTTAGTAATGCAACTTAAAAGGTAAAACTAATATATGAGATAGACTCATTACATGCAAAGCAAGATAGTTCAAGCCGTGATTTGTCATAATTGTGATGATTATGGCTTACAGCTAATGAAAACCCCAAATCCACAATCTCAGAAAATTAGAATATTACATGCAATCAATAAAACAAGATTGCACATAGAACAATATCGGACCTCTGAAAAGTATAAGCATGCATATGTACTCAGTACTTGGTTTGGGCCCCTTTTGCAGCAATTACTGCCTCAATGCGGCATGGCATGGAAGCTATCAGCCTGTGGCACTGCTGAGGTGTTATGGAAGACCAGGATGCTTCAATAGCGGCCTTCAGCTCTTCTGCATTTTACGGTCTCATGTCTCTCATCTTTCTCTTGGCAATGCCCCATAGATTCTCTTTGGGGTTCAGGTCAGGCGAGTTTGCTGGCCAATCAAGCACAGTAATCTCAAGATCATTGAACCAGGTTTTGGTGCTTTTGGCACTGTGATCAGGTTCTAAGTCCTGCTGGAAAATGAAGTCAGCATCCCCATAAAGCTCGTCTGCCAAAGGAAGCATGAAGTGCTCCAAAATCTCCTGGTAGACGGCTGCGTTGACCCTGGATTTAATGAAGCACAGTGGACCAACACCAGCAGATGATATGGCTCCCCAAATCAACACAGACTGTGGAAACTTCACACTGGACTTCAAGCATCTTGCAGTGTGTGCCTCTCCATTCTTCCTCCATACTCTGGGTCCTTGGTTTCCAAATGAGATGCAAAAGTTTCTCATCAGAAAAGAGGACTTTGGACCGCTGAGCAACAGACCAGGTCTGTTTTTCTTTAGCCTAGGTAAGACGCTTCTGACGTTGTTTGTTGTTCAGAAGTGGCTTGACAAGAGGAATATGACATTTGAAGCCCATGTCTAGGTCTGTGTGTGGTGGCTCTTGATGCACTGACTCCAGTCTTAGTCCACTCCTTGTGAAAGTCCCCAACACTTTTGAATGGCCTTTTCCTGACAATCCTCTCCAGGCAGTGGTCATCCCTGCTGCTTGTGCACCTTTTTCTTCCACACTTTTCCCTTCCACATAACTTTCTATTAATGTGCTTTGATACAGCACTTTGGGAACATCCAACTTCTTTTGCAATCACCTTTTGAGGCTTTCCCTCCTTATGGAGGGTGTCAATGATGGTTTTCTACAAAACTGTCAGGTCACCAGTCTTTCCCATGATTGTGATTCCTACTGAAACAGACTGAGAGACCATTTAAAGGCTCAGGAACCCTTTGCAGGTGTTATGGCTTAATTAGCTGATTAGAGTGGGACACTTTGAGCCTACAATATATTGCACCTTTTCACAATATTCTATGTTTCTGAGATTGTAGATTTGGGGTTTTCATGAGCTGTAAGCCATAATCATCACAATTATGACAAATCACAGCTTGAACTATCTTGCTTTGCATGTAATGAGTCTATTTCATATATTAGTTTCATCTTTTAAGTTGCATTACTGAAATAATTGAACTTTTGCACGATATTAAAATTTTTTGAGTTTTACCTGTAAACAAAAAAAGAGCAAAACATTTGAAAAAAAAAAAAAAGTTTCTTTGTTTCTATTATAAAATTTTGCAAACAGGTAATTTTTCTCCTTCACTGATGTGCGTTGATGAGGCTGCACTGATAGCACTGATAGGCGGCACTGATGGGCGGCACTGATGAGCACTGATAGGCAGCACTGATATGCAGCAATGATGGGCACTGATAGGCGGCACTAATTGGCAGCACTAACTAGCGGCACTAACTAGCGGCACTGCTGGGCACTTACTGGTGGCACTGGTGGGCACTGGTGGGCACTGATGGGCGGCACTGCTGGACACTGATCATCAATGCCCTGATAATCGGTGCCGATCTGTTTTCTGACAATTGCAGATTATCAGCAATACTTTCCTTATGCTGTGACAGCGTGAGGAAAGTGCAGTAGATAACCGGCAACTGCATTTACCCGGTGATCTGCTGTGTCATTGGACACAGCTGATCACGTGGTAAAAGGCCGCTGTGATTGGCCTTTTACTACATCACGTGATCAGCTGTGTTCATACAACACAGCAATCACAGAGATCACCAGGTGCGCTCCCAGAACTGGACAACCATGCTGTAGCCATCATTCAGCTATAGCCTAGTTGTCAAGTGGTTAAAGTAGAAGTCCACTCAAATATTATCCAAGCTTAAACCTGCTCCCACCTTCAATCTAAGCCCTATACTAACTACCCTGTAAAGGAAAGATGTCTATACTTACCTATTCTGGAGGAGCTCCAGTCTGGTCACGTGATCTCCCCAGTGATCTCCTTCAGTGAGGAGGCGAGATCGCGAACAATGGCAGCAATGCCTATGCAGTGACGTCACCCATAGGATTACTATGGGGCATCCGTTGTTGCCGGTTCCTTCTCTACACTGAACCCAGCATTGGGAACGGATCATGTGAACAAACTGGAACTGGGGTGGGAACAGGTTTAAGATTAGACAGCACTGACTAGGGTTCTTCTTTAGGCAAATATATCCTTACAGGGAGAAATGGGTTTCTTTTTGCATGACATGGACAAGATTTTGTGATCAGGGTTTTCTCACCTGAGACAAGTGACATGCAAGAAGAAAATGTAGGTGTAATAAACACAATGTTTTGTAGCAAAGGGTTTTCAGGGAAGCAAAGCTATACTACAATAGTCATGGCAAGGAGAGTGCTGCAAACAACCAAAATTGGAAGACAAGATGGTTCTGACCCAGAGTGACAACAGCAAATGCAACTCATAATACTGGAGCCCAGTAAAAGACTACAAGACACCCTGTTTTGCCTTTGCTACATACTGCTGTGCATGCTGCATGTTGTTAGCAACAGAGAGAGGTAAGTAGGAGCAAACAATTTATTGAAATACATCCCGTATTACGCCTACCTTGCAGATCAAGACTCTAATATTTCTGTGAAGGCATGTATCCTTCCCAATCCACCAGTTTACCCAAAGAAAATACTAAAACCAAGATTTATTTGCTCACTTTCATATCTACTATCATAATAATAATAATTTCAGCAAGAAACACAGAATATAGCATGCATGAGAGATAGTGATATTTAGAGTTTATGCATCTGGAAGACCTCATCTGGAATATGCAGTTCAGTTTTGGGCACCAATTCACAAAAAGAACATTGGGGAACTGGAGAAAGTACAGAAAAGGGCAACAAAACTGATAAGAAACATGGAGGAGCTCAGCTATGAGGAAAGATTAGAGGAACTGAATTTATTCTCTCTTGAGAAGGAGATTAAGGGGGATATGATCAACATGTAAATAATACATCAGTGGTTCATATAGTGAACTCGGTGTAGAGCTATTCACCCTGAGGTCATCACAGAGGACAAGGGGGCACCCTTTACGTCTGGAGGAAAAGAAATGTAATCTCCAAACACGGAAAGGTTTCTTCACAGTGAGAGCTGTGAAAATGTGGAATAGAGTCCCTCAAGAGTTGGTTCTGGCCAGCTCAGTGGATTGCTTTAAAAAAGGCCTGGATCGTTTCCTAGATACACAGAATATAACTGGATACTAACATTTATAGGTAAAGTTGATCCAGGGAATATCCAATTGCCTCTCAGGAATTTTTTCCTCAGCACAAGCAAATTGGATCATGCTTTGCTGGGTTTTTTTGCCTTCCCCTAGGTCAACTGTGGGTATAGAATTATAACTTTTTCTTTTCTTTTTTTTTTAATGGTTGAACTGGATGGACTTTCGTCTTTTTTCAGCCAGACTAACTATGATACTCAAACTGAAAAAGACACTGATAATTCTTTTTTCATAAAAATTGTCAGTTTGGAAATTGCTTTGTGACTACCAAGATGAGAATGCACCTGAAAGATAGCCGTAGATTGCTTTAAAATGCAAGTTAGTTCAGGAACATTTCAGAATGGGCAATAAAATAGGTTTTTTTTTTATGAGCTTACCTTGAAAATGCCCTTAACAGTATACAGAAATGTAACATTATATTTACTGTCTGTAGCCACCAGTGCAGAAGTAAAAAAAAAAAAAAAAAAAACAGGAGTCTTGACTTACCTGTAAATTCTAAATCTTGGAGTACAGTACCGGACACAAGATAGTCATAGACCATGAGTTATATGACGGTGATTGGACGCTGGTAAAGGTAGTTCACCCTCATATTGCCTCACCCACTCAGTGGGACTCCAGTTTTGTGGAGGGACCTGTGTCCTGTACTGTACCCCAAATTATAAAATTTACCTACCAACATTAACCAAATCAAGAATGAATTGGAAACTTTACAAAGACAAACACAAAAACTTGCCATGAATGGGAAAAAAAAAAACTTCAGA